TTATTTCACAATTAATTGTTTTGCAATTGTTTATCTGTAACAATTTAATTGAATATAATTGTGTAATAATTTAATTGCAATAATACATTTCATTCAATTGACGAACCACCAAGATCAATTACGTACGTACGGAATTTAAATTATTTTGCCAATTTGTATAATAAAAGCTTCATAATAAAAATTACTTGAAAATTCGATTACCGTTACATAAATTAGTTTTAAGTTCTGCATAGTGAAAAATTAAATTTGTAATTATCAGGTTTTCTCTTGGCAGCACTCATTTATACTAATCCGAAAAAACATCGCCCAAAAGCATGGAATGAGTGGAATAAACACTTTTTATGAACGATAAAGAATAAAATCTTGCTAAGTTTGGGGAATCATACTATATTAACTATAAATCAATGTAAGAATTGATTTGATAGTAAAATCATAACTTTTGCTAAATGTAAGTTTTTGAGGATTATTATCTAAGTTAACGCAATTCATTCGATTTGGTTTGATATTGATAAAACTGTTAATCGAAGTCAAATTATAATTTTTTTTATTACATATTTTCACAAGACCGAAATAAAAAAGTGATGAATCAACAAAAGAATAAAGCAGAATTTACACAATTCAAAGTTCTGTTTTGTCATTTTTAGGCTTTACTACGAACCAATAAAAAAAACAGAACATCAACCATTTCAGTTCCCGTTTCTCCTTTTTCAGAACTTTCATATGTTGTTATAATAGCAAAAATATCCAATGCGGCTTTTTCTAAATTACAGCACAAATTTCCAGCGTTTTGTTATTTGCGACAAAGGCATTTAGCATAAGTAATAAGGTAACAATCCGTTGACACTGGTAAGGCTCAAGAGCGAAGCACGTGAACAATTATTTTTTCTACATAGTCACTGAAAAATTTCCATCGTTTGTAAATTGGCACTGACGCAATAAACTATCGTCACATGTTTTATTCATTGGAATGATAAACACATTTTGATTCGCTAAACTATTTTGTTAATTAATTATTCCGATTGACCAAGGCGCTTGAGAACCCGTAATCAAGTAATCAATAGATATGTGGTTCGAATGGATCCAGGAGGAAGCACGTTCAGCTTCTACAAAAGAGGAAAAGAAAAAAGTAATTCACCAATATTCCGAAACTGTCAAAGAATATCTATGTATTTATGTTTTTTTTTTTTTGATTCGGTTTCCATGATCCTGATCCATTTAATATAACAATTAACTTTATATTAATAATATTTCAATAGCAATTGAACTTTGGAAAGAATATATAAATTATGTTATACAAGAATACAAAAGTTCTCTAGAGGAAATGGATGAAACTGGTGACAATTCTGGTGAAGTTGTTACATTAGATCAGATCCGTTTAGTATTTGCAGAAGCAATTAAAAAAACTGGTAATGTTGTTCCAGAGGTATGACCCATTAATGAATGAATGATGTACAAGCGCTGGTTTTTTTTTAAATTGTCACTAATTTAATTAACTTGTTAGAGCCATATCGTATGGGATGTTTGTAAAGAATTCGAAGAACAAATTTTAGAGGTTGGAAATTATTATATAAAGTCTTTGATATTTGTTTTTTTTTTTTTGCCATTTTTTAATTTATATCCTTTTTTTTTAATCTTTTTATAGGCTTCACCTCGGTACCTATACAACATTGTTTTAAACCGTTTTGTATTTTTTTATAAAACAAATCCTCAAGGTATTTTATTAGTGATGACGAGCAAAAAAATAGAGTACAAAAAATGTATCTGGACAGGATCAAGGTTCCTCATGCAAGTATGTACCTATAATCATTCTTATTATTTTTTGATCAAACACACTGTTAAAATTATTTATGTTTAAAGCCATAGAAAAAACCTTTTCTGATTATTCGTCATTTGTCACCAAATATGACAATCCAAATTATGAAAAACATATGGTTGATGCCAACGCTTCCTTTAGTCAAGCAAAAAGAAAATATTATGAAAGAGATCATTATGAACAAACACTGGTATGTGTTTTGTACAGGTCTTTTTTAATGTGCGTGTTTCTCACTATAAATTTTTTTTCAGATTGCATCTGGAAATGGACTGGATAAATATATGGAATACATTGAGTTTGAGAAAAAACAATCCGCTCCTAACTGGCAGGCTGTTCGCACTTTATATGAAAGGGCCATCGTCTTTCACTATTTAGATCCATCACTCTGGGAAAATTATGTTTTCCAATTAATTGATAAAAAATTTCCAAATAATATGGTTCTTGGCGTTGCTGAACGTAGTGTTCGTAATTGTCCATGGTCTGGTGATCTTTGGGGCCATTACATTCGAGTTTTAGAAAAAGATTATGATTCACATAATGAAATAAAAGATATAATTAGCAAGGCCACTTCCAATGAGATGCTTAATAATAATGTAGATGAGCTAGTAAAAGTTCTATTGGCTTATTGTGATTTTGAAAGGAGAAAAATAAAGCCACCATTGAATTCAGAAAATACATTGAGTCTTATAAATACTATACAAGAAAGTCTTCAAACAGTCAAACAATGTTAGTATTATAGGTCATGTTTAATATATATATTATTTATTTATTTTAATATGAATTTTCATAAAAGTCTTTCCAAGTGGCGACCCCAATTATCGTTTAGAAAGATATTTGATAGAAATTGAGGTAAAGTGATTAAGTTAAATATGAAATTTATAAACTATTTGTTATATGTTTCTCAAATGTATTCGTGTATAGACATTGAATAAAAATATTACAAAAGCAAGAGAGGTTTGGGAAAATCTTATTAAAACTCATGGCAAAGGATCTGAAACGTGGATACGTTATATTGAGTGGGAAAGGTGCGTGCTTTCAATTTTTTTTGGGCGTAAAAAATTAATAATAATTAGATATACGATCGTTACATACTTAGATTTATGGGAAATCATGATGAAATTCACAAAAAATTCAAAAGAGCATCTCAACAAAATACTGATTGGCCAGAACGTATATTTGATGCATGGGAACAATTTGAGCATCAGTATGGAACATTAGATAGTTTAGAAAATGCACTGATGTTCATTAGAAAACAAATGAAAGTTGTTGCACATAGGCGTGCAAAAGTAAGAAATATGCATATTGTTGTTTTTCCTGATATCTAAAGGTGTGATGGTAACCTTCATTTATTATTGTTATTAGAATGCAACACTGGAGGTTCAAAATGTTGGTACTGAACAAGCATTCCAGGTACCAACAACCTTTGATAATACACAAGCCGAAGTTTCCCAGTCATCTAAAGTATCGCAACCTGAGATTTCAGAACCAGGTAATGATGCAAAAAAAAGGAAGCCCGAAGAGGATGAGCCCCAGCTAGAAGGCTCACCAGCTTATAAAAAAAGCAAAGGTCCATCGACTGTTTTTTATTAGAGTATATGTGCGTTGATTTGTATCAATTTTAATTAATCTCTTATTTTATTAACTTTAGCTCAACATCCTGAAAAACCAAAGCGGTAAGTTGAACGTAGTTGTAATCACATTATCTCAATTGACTCAAACCTCATTACATATTATATAGTGATCGTGAGTTTACTACAGTTGTTGCCAGTAACCTTCCATTAGATGTTACAGAGGGTCAGTTGAAAAATCTTTTCAATGAGGTATGTTTGATTTTTTTTTTTCTTTTATAATACTTGTGTTATAGTTTCTTGAATCTATTAATTTTCTGTCGTTTATATAGTGTGGAAAAATTGTTGATATTCATATAATTGAAGATAGTGAAAAAGCACAAAAATCCGCGCATATAGAATTCGCAAAAAGGGTAAATAAATAATTCTTTATTGATATAGGTTTATTGATATATGTTTAAAAATATGAAATATTTGTATAGGATGATGTTCCTGCTGCGTTAACAAAAGATAAGAAGAAGATCGGAGATAATGAAATTAACGTGTATAAAATTACAGAACATACACTATTCATTACAAATTTCCCAGAGACTGCTAATCTTGAAGAAATGTTTGATAAGGTATTTAAATTTACGAATGAACTTATAATTTTTTGTAAATTAAAGTTGAATATAATAATGTATTTTTTATTCAGTATGGAAAAATAATTAGCATTCGTTATCCGAGTAGAAACCTCAGAGCAGGAAGATTTTGCTATATTGAGTACGAAAATCGGGTAAATATTTAGCATAAATCATCCTTGACGTATATTTTGAGAAAATTTTAATATATACATATACATATACATATATTGATTTAAATTAGGAATCAGCTTTATCCGCTTTAGAAATGAATGGTTTTGAGATCGAAACAGGAAAAAAATTAAATGTGGTGATTTCTAATCCTTCATTAAAGAAAACACGTTCTCCACCAAAGTAAGAAAATTAATATTTTTTTGACATTCAATGGTTTATTTTTATTTATTTCTAATACTTATGTAGGCAAAACGAGATTTATATTAGAAATCTTCCTAGTCATGTTGAAAGAAGTGAATTGGAAACACTTTGCAAAACTGTTAAGCATCTTATTAAATTTCTTGTCTTTCTCGTTTGTCACAATGACACTAAATACAAATATTTAATGTTTATAATTTTATAGCATGGATCTGTTATTGATGTTAGAATTCCTACAACTAAGGATAAGAAATGTAGAGGAATAGCATTTGTCGAGTTTGACAACGAGGTTTGCTTCGTATCTCTTTTTTTTTTAATTTTTTTTATTCCTGATTTTTTTCAACAATGGATTTACAGGAGCATGCAAAAGCCGCACTTGCCCTACATAATACGGAATTTAAAGAGTGTATATTAAATGTGACACTTAGCAATAGTAATCGGGGCAATGGGCAAAAATCCACATCCGGTGAGCCTAATAATAAAGAAACTAAAGCAAAAAAGAACAAGTATGTGTATATTTTATAATCTATGAATGTAATATTTTAAATTTCAACAATTGACAAACTTTCTGCGGTTTTTTAGGACGGCAACAGTACGAACGGGAGATGATAAATCGGCTGTCGATTCTGTATCATCTGTCCAGAGGTTACTTAAATTTTCTCAATAATAATTTTATATTCATTTTTATTACATTTCATTTTATTTATAATCATTTATTCATTATCCATTAGTGATGTTAAACCCAATACGTTCATGATGCCGAGAAAACTGCAGAGACCATTAACAAGATTGAAACTAACTGCGCCGATCAAAAAAAGCGCATGAATGTGCGTTTTTTGCCGGGCAAAATTTAATCTAGTTTCAAATTGCCATTATCAGTTATCCGATTTTTTCATAATTATCACATGTAAATTTTTCATATATATTGTACGTAAAATTATAAAACAGAAACATATAAAATTATTATAGTGGATATTACTTAAAGCCAACAAGTTTTATATATAACTACCAATTTTTTTAGTTGCAGTGTAACATAATTAACCAACAAAAATGCAGTCAAATTTAATCCATACAATTTAAAATTTTATTAATAAACTTAAATGTTATTATATGTATATCTATGAAAATTTAAACTACAGTCAAACCCCTCTATAGTCACACCTTTGGGATACAAAAGGCCGTGATTATAAAGAAGTGTGATTAATATAGAGGTATTTTTTATATAATTATAAATATATAATTGGCAAAAATAAATTTGTAATTATATTAATTTTGTGACTATAGAGGAGGTGACTATAGAGAGTTGACTGTATATACTGTATATTTTTAAATTGATATAAATTTTAAAAATAAAAAATATTTAATTGCTAATTCGCCTAAGATAGTATTTAATATACGCAAATTGCTATTAAATTTAAGAGTTTTAGTTAGAATAACCGGTGGTGATCATCACCATGTATAATTAGCCAATAACAATAAACCAAAAAAAAAGATTTTATTTCATTTACTTTAGGGTTAGGGTGAGGCCTGAGATTTTAGCAAGGTGTTAAATATATGCAAAATTTAGCAAGAAATTTTTTTTGTTAGAACGTCGAAGGTTGAGATATTGGTAGTGATCCAAATCGGACCAAGAAATGCAATCGATTAATCAACCAAAATTTTTTTTAAAAATCGATTAAAAATCGATTATCCCTTAAACCGTCTGGGTTTAGCGGGCAAATTTGCCCGCTAAAATAATTGAAAAAACCTAAGCCTAAAATAAAT